TTATAGCCTGAGGAGTCAGGCTCTATGGGCAGAGGGTGCGAATAGTCTATTGACAAAAGTTTCTGGGAAATGGCATGGAAGGCTATAGAATACACAGTTTTGGGTTACACCCATGCCATGATGAACTGATCTCAGCTGTCCTAACTAGGACAGGTTTCCACCAAACTCTCACTGCCTTGTTGTCCTCTTGGTCCTCCGACTGCCACAAAGTACCTGGGGCAGCAGGCAATACCTGGAGAATTTTCCAAGAGTACTCAGAAAGGTCCAAAGATGACAGATTCTCCCACAAAATGCTCCATCCAAACTGCCTGGGACAGCGCAGAGAGGAATTTTCCTTGAAGGAGTAGCTGGATTTGCTTGTCAGATGGATTTTTGATTACTTTCCAGTCAATTCTTTCAGCCCTTGGGGTATGCAAGAGTGGGGAGATGGATTAGGGACAGCTCTAGGGCAGCACATCTCAAGGCTGGGGAAAGAGGTCTGTCTGAACCACCAAGGCTGTTCTAAATTTTTATCCTGATTCCAAACATCTGTCCATCTTGATGTTGGGAAAATCACCTGATTTCTATATTTCCTTCGTAAAGGGAGTAGGATGGCACTTTTGTCTAGCTTGTAAGCCCCTCTAGGCATGGAGAGAGGGCTTTTTATAAAAAGGAATTGCCATAACCACGGTGACCCCAGGCGGCACAGCAGCTTGCTGGACCAAAATGCTGTGGCACTTCGTGTTGAACTTGAAAGCCCTGCAGCTTTATTAATTTTTCCTGGTTTACAATTGTAAATCTCTCTGTAACGGCAATAGTTAACAAATCAGCAGCGTTCCTCATCAGGGTCTCAAAAACTCTCCAAGGAAAAGTTTCCCGAAGACACGCAAATCTGCCAACTGTGCTCAGCAGTCTGTGCTGACTTAGCATTTCTTCTCCTCTTCCCTGCCATTCATCCCACCCCACTGTCTGCCCCTCATACCAGAACAGTTCAATTTGCCTCCACCCACAGCATCAAAGCAGGGCCCTCACACCCCTGATGGTGATCAGTGCTCGACTGTGAGTGACCTGGAGGCCTCAGAGAGGGTCTGTCCCCCTGTGCTTAGTGGCAGAGTCCTTCATGCTGTGCTGTGTTGCATTTACAGGGGTTGCTATAATTAAGGAACTTTGATAAGATCTGCTTATATAACCATGGTGATTACTGAAGTCTAGGCATGGAGGTAGATTAGATGAGATTACCAGCTACAGCTCTGCTCTAATGTACACGACCTGCCTTCTCAGATTAATTTTTGTTAAATTTAATGTTAAATTGGTTCTCTTTCCTCAAGGTTGTGCCGTGTTCCAAGAGGTGTCAAGCGGAGAGCTGGCAAAATTGTACAAAGGGATTGCTGGCTGTGGGTCACTAATTATCCCTCCATATGCACTGTTAGAAAAATCCCTTTAACCTGAGAAACCAAGTCCTGTGCGCTGGCCTGGAACTCCAGGTACTTCTTTAATTAATGCAGAGTTCTGGGCGCTGGCAACAAGAAAGTGCTATTTTCCAGTGAATGCACTAAGTACTTTATGTACTGACCCCCCTGGATGTGTTTCTGTGTTTGCTTCATTCCTTTTTCTATATCCAAGCACTGCTGTCTTTTGTTTCACAACCATTTTTTTCCCTCACCTTTCCTCCTTGCTCTGCCTCTCTTAAAACTGGCTGCTTCCCTCTTTATTTTTTCTCTCACCTCTTTTACCTCCAAACCAAATCTGGGCAGCACCATTTTGTCCTTGCCACTTTTTAGCTGATATCCAGTGATGACACTGGGCCTTAAGAAGGCAGAACAAAACAGGAGGGTTTGTGGCACTGTAAGATTTCTGCTTGTCACGTGTAAGGGCGTATTTCCCACATGGGAGCAGCTGGTTTGTTTTCTAATGGCATCTCCACGTGAAGTTACTTGTCTGTGAAACGTGAATCTCAGGGTCAGCCAGACTTCAGCACAACTGACTTACAGGGCCTAAGTTGAAGATACTCTCTGGGAAATGCTTCTTTCCCTCAGCAATATACCAAAAAAAGAGAAATCTAAAGTGAATTGGGTCTTCACAGGATAAGGTCTGAGAACCCAGTGTACTTCAAATATTCAAAAGATATTTTAATTCCTAAGGAAAAGTATATTTTGATTTCTCGGGAAAAATATATTTTGACATATTTTACCTGAAGGCTTTGACAAAAACACTAAAGCAAAAATCAGCGCAAGTTTGTTGGAAGTAGCAGGGAGGAGGTGAGTGAACCTTGCATCCCAAAAGAGAACGTACAGAAATAGCATGGAAGGACATAGAGCAGTGCCCAGAGGACTGTCCCTGTCCTGTGACAGGACACAGCATCCTTGAATCAGCTCAATCCAAACGAGGAATTACAGGAGGTGTAAGGCTGGATGCACCTTGGAGCAGCCTGGGCTAGTGGAAGGTGTCCCTGCCCACAGCAGGGGGTTGGAACCAGATGATCTTTAATGTCCCTTCCAACATAAACCATCCTGTGATTCTATGAATATTCCTGTGGACTTCAAATGGGGTTGTGGCACTACAAAGCATATTGGGTAATGCTTCACGGAATTCCAAAATATCTAAGGGATGAATTTTACTCGTAGCGCACTGAGCTCTCAGTCTTGAGCAAAGCAAGTAAGTTTCTTCCATGACGTGATTTTAAAACTGGAGCACCATCCCTGTTGCAAGTAGGAATCTGTTCCTACCGTCCACAAAAAAAAAAAAAAAAAAGATCAGAAAGAGTTTGGTCCTACCCTGCACTAAAAATATCATAAAGAATTAGGTCCTACCTTGCACAAAAAAATGATCAGAAAGAGTCTGATCCTACCCTGCACAAAAAAATTATCAGACAGAATTTGGTCCTACCCTCCACAAAAAAACAATCAGAAAGAATTTGGTCATACCCTGAACAAAAAGTTATCAGAGAGAATTAGGTCCTACCCTGAACAAAAACAAACAAACAAACAAACAAACAAACAATCAAAGAATTTGATTTTAACTTCCACCAAAAAAAAAAAAAATTATCAGAAAGAATTTGGTCCTACCCTCCACAAAAAATATTATCAGAAAAAGTTTGGTCCTACCCTGCACAAAAATTATCAGACAGAATGTGGTCCTACCTTGCACAAAAAAATGATGAGAAAGAATGTCGTCCTACCCTGCACTCTAGTTTTATCGAAAGTTTTACTTTGCAGCTTTATCCAACTTTTTTTACATAAACCCCTTCGGGGTTTTTTATTTAAACCCCTTCAAAGTGCACCTTCCCCCTCCTTGGAGCAGATCCCTTTATTCCATCATTGTCACGACCCCCAGGACAACCCCGTCCCCTCAGCGCCCCCGGCGGGGGCGGGACTCGAACCCTCAACCTTCCGAGTCCGTCCCCGCCACCGCCCCTGCGCGCGCCCCGCCTCCCCCTCCCCTCAGAGCGGCGTTTCCGGCGCGGCCGCTGTGACGCGGCGGCGGCGCCGGGGCGGTGCGGCGGGCGGGCAGGGCGGGCGGTGGGAGATGGCGGAGTACCTGGCCTCCATCTTCGGCACCGAGAAGGACAAGTGAGTGGCCCCCATCCCCTCCTCCCCCGCGGCTCCGGTGCCCCCCCCTTGCCCCGCGGGGTGGGGAGGGAGCCGGAGGGGGAGGCCGGAGGCCCGTAGCGGGTTGCGCGGGAACGCGCGGCCTTGTTCGGATCGCGGCGGTCTCAAGCCCTTGCCTTCCCTTCCCCCCCGCCCCCCCCCCCACTTTTCCCTGCGGGGGGAACGTTCCCCGGCCCCTTTCGCTCACTCCCGGCCTCAGCGGCACCGCCAGGGCTGGGTTCCCCCGCCATTCCCAATCCCGCTGGAACGCGGCGGGAAGAGGGAAGCGAGAGGCGGCCGCGCTCCCCACCCCCTTTTTCCCTTCCCCCCTCCCCCCCCCCCCGCTCGCGCCTCCCTCAGGCTCTCCCCCCCCCTCCCCCCCCCCCCCCCCCCCCCCCCACTCAGGAACGCGCGTGCGCGCGGCGCGCGCCACCCGGGCGTGGGGAAGGGAAGGGGGGGCGCGCGCGCGGGCCCCGCGCGTTCCCGCGCGCGCGCGCCCGCCGCCCCCGCCCGCGCTCTTCGCCCACATCCCCCCCCCCCCCCCAAAAAAAAAAAAACTCCCCCTCCCCTCCTTTCCCAGCCCCCCTTCCCGGGCCGGGGCCGTTCTCGGGGACCTTCCCTTCTTCCTCTTCCTCCTCCCCTCCCCCGGCCGCCATGCGGGTGTGCCCGCGCCTCGTGGTGCGGTACCGCCCTCCCCCGTCCTTCCCTCCACCGTCCTCCCCCCGCGGCTGCGCCTTCCTGCCGGGCCCGCTGGGTGCCGGAGCTTCCCGCCGCCTCTTGCCAGAAGGCGCCTCCTCCTCCTCCTGTTCCCCTTTTGTTCGTGTCCCTGCGCCTCGCAGCAGCCCGAGAGCTCCCGCTCTGCTGCAAGGACAGCGACTGGTTATTTCTCCCCCCTCCCCAGGGTGCGGAGGATTTCCCCGACTGCTGCATCCTGATCCTACAGGCTTCTGCCTGCAGCCTTCCACGCGTCCGGGAACGCCTCTAGTTTCTCTGGTTGTTGGAAGCACACACACAAAACCCTCCTAACGAAAATTTGGTCACCACCGGCCTGACCAAACCGGCGTGTTTTTCCACTCGTAAAAATGAAAAGGGGGCGTCGATGTGCTGCTGGACTAAATTACTCTTGTCAGCCCCTGGCCATGGGGCTTCTGCTCTGCTCTGTAGTGCTGCCATTCCGGGAAAGCAGATCGGCAGCCTCTCTTGAGCTCTGTTACTGTAGCGTCCTTTCTCACAAAGGAGATACATATGAATATAATGCAGTACAGTTCCACAGTATTAATCAGGCACGAAATTCCTGTGCAGCTCTTATTTTCTGTTTAGAAAAAGCAAACGGAACCTTCCAGAAGGTGCTGAAGTTGGAAGCACTATTGGAAATTTTATAGTTAGGTATTTCTTTTTATTTCAGGTTAGAGTTCAGAAAAGACAGTAAGTATATCATAATGCTAAGTGTTTGTTTTCAAAAACATAATGAAGAGTAAGCATGTTGTAAATTTACAGTAGAATGTTTTGCTAGAGATCAGATATGCTTTAGTACTTAAATAATTCTCCCCTCGTTGAGTTGATGTTGGTTACACAGGAGTGTGGAAATAATTAGTGTTAACTACGGGAATGATAATCTTTCTTCCAGGAGAGTTCTAATATTTCACTTACCCATATATAGCCCACAGTAGCTTTCTTGCTCTTCAGAATTTTGCATTTCCCTGTCAAGGTAACTTAAACTCCTTATGGTTTTCTTTCATCATTCCGTGTGAGTTACACCTTTTTGTGAGACTTTTACTGGCATTTCTAAACCAGCATTGTTTTGAAGGTGCCATGAAATGGATCATTCAGGGAAAGCTTGTGGTTTAAAAAAAAAAAGCTTACTCTTAAAATTATTGACTATATTCATGGAAATGGCTTCATTAAATGAATTTATTTTGCTTCTTTGTATTCTCTCTCTAACAGGATTTTTCTCTTCCCTGACTTTATTTCCAGTACTGTGTTGGCAGTAGCTTGAATTACCCTTAGAGTATAACTTTAAACAGGTGGTTTATAAAACATGAGAGAGGTGCAACTGTGTCAGCTCTAAAGCAGGTTTTATTGCCTGGAGCAGGGGCTGCATGAACTCAGACACAGAGCTCGTGTAGTGTAAATTTTCAGACCGTTTTTCACGTCACTTCCTGTCCCAGCACCCACTGAAACTGGTGTAGAGACAAGGATGGAGAACCAGAAGGGTAAAACAGTGATCACTTGTGTGTGGTGGATCATGAAACCACTCAGGGTGAAATCAGTCAGATTCTGCCTGTAAGTCAGGGGGAAAAGGAGTGAGTGTGGACAGGTTTGCTGTAAAATACTTCCCTGTGCAGTTTTGGTGTGGATTTCCTTTCTGTGTTACTTCTCCACATCAAGATAAAGACATTTAGGGCATATGCTTTTTTGCATATTAATGTTTTCTATTCCAGTATGTAACTACTTTATTCTTTTTTTCCCTTGCAGAGTCAACTGTTCATTTTATTTCAAAATTGGAGCTTGTCGCCATGGAGACAGATGTTCTCGATTGCACAACAAACCAACATTTAGCCAGGTTTGTTTCCCTTTTGTTTCCTCTTTCTCATGGAAGTATATTCTGGCTTCTTTAAAATGTAAATTCTTAGATAAGAGTGAATAATTAGCGAGCTCCAGATTAACTAGTTCACTTTTGGCCCCAGTTTATCTGGGTCTTTGCTTTTTTGGGGGTATTCCATTTACTTCTCCCAGCATTTCTAATTATCTCCTGTCACCCTTAATGGCTGCAGGAAGCGATGCTGTTGTAAGCTTGCCTGTAGTAGAGACCAACCAGTGCTAACTTTCAGGTGAGTGTGCCTTCTCAGTGGTGTTCAGGCACTTAAACCATCCCAGATTTTTTAAAGCACAGACAATGGCAGCAAGTTCCACCTGTCCCAAAGATGAGAACTTTAGTCTTTCATGCATATAATAGAAGTAAACTAATTGATGAATAGAAGTCACTCATCTGTCATTACATTTGCTCTCTGACCCAGGCTCTTAAGTTTCAAGAGTGACTTGCATACTTCCTTTGAATGTTGTAAAAATGGGTTATTAAAAAAACAACTTGCCTGGTTGCTGAGGGTGAATTATCACTTGACATGACAGATTATTGTATCTTTGGCTAAGTGAATATTGTTAGAGACATTATGTGTGACTGCATATCTGCCAGAAATAAAAATAAATTTTAAAAAGTGCAGTGAGTGACAAAGATTTTATTACTGTGAGCTCTATAGTTTTCACAAATTACATTCTTGGAGAACTTTGTTTTTCCTCTGTCTATCACTGCTGATTGTCAAGGTACACAGATAAATAGATTTCTTTGGGAATATTGCACTTGAGAAGTAGTGCCTTTGAAAGTTCTCGCCTTATCAGCAGTCTACAAAGATAAAGTTTACATGAGAATAGATCTTCTGCAAGTTCATCTCATCTGCCTTGGAGCAGAATTGGTGAGAATGGTGGGCTGATGTTGGTTTGGGGAGAAATTAGGAAGGCAAGTACTATCCATGTGACAAGTTCAGAGCTGTGGTGCTCCTCAGGTTAAACTGTGAGTGGGCAGGGGGGAATGTCAAGGTTGCTTATCCATGGGGGCTGCTGCTGGTACTTCAGCTACAAAAATACTTCCCTACTTCTGGGAATTTAATGATTTTTAATGCAAATATTTTATTTCAAAAATAATACTGTCCATTTTCAAAACTATTCCGTGTTGCTGACCTACATGGAGCACCTGCTGAAATCTGATTGGTTATATAGAGACCTGAATTTAGGTCACTGGCTACTAGAATATATTTCTAAATCAGACAAGTAGTTGCCTTTTAAGTTAAAAAAAAACACCAAAAACCTAACACAAAGCCCCCACCACCCCTAAATCCTTTTTTAACAATAAAACTTTGCAAGTACAGCTTCCTGTGTCGGTGCAACTTTAAGCTCTGCTTTAGACTCTGTTTAGCAGTGCCAGCTGAAGCGGGTCAGGCATGTCCCATTCATCTGGGGGTGTCTGGGACTGCACAGCACCGTACCTGGCACTGTGCAGGGCTCACCACAGAAATCTTTATTTGTGTGCAGGTGGTTAATCAGCTGTGATAGAAAACAGAAGAACAGAGACTTCACTAATGGGAAGTTTTCAGCCCAACATTTTTACCTTGTGCAGCTCTTGCTGGTGCAGCTACTTTACAGAAGAGCTGTGTTAGGAAAGGTCATGCTATCCAGGGTGATCAAATTACCCCCAGTCAGCAGGAACACCAGAACTAGATGCATGTTTCTGGCGGTCTCCAATTGTAGGCTAAATCATGGGTAGTTTAAACCTGGGCCATGGAAGCACAAAGCTTTGGTTGGTATGACTGTACCCATTAGAAAATGTGTGTGATTTTAAATGTGATCTTTTTTTTCAATGTGTTAAATGGGCAGCATGTGTAGGTGTGGCATTGCTGGTCCTGTGACTCCTTTAAGCTCTGAATTCTTATTGTGACTAATAATAATGTGTAAGCTAAAATTACTTGGGGATTGCCATTCATACTGACTAACATTGAGCTTGTATTTTAAGTAATCAAATTTCAATTTTTGAGCTGCTTACAGTGATATGGACGTTTGGAATTTTTTTGTAATATTAGTTTACTAACTTAAACATGGTTTGTTTTTTCAGACAACTTGATTTTAAGAAGAACGGTACAAATGTAAGGTTTCAAGTCTGCCTGGGCTAATTCTTCAAGTAAAAAGCAGAAGGGCTAAAAGGATATTGTCCTTATTTGAAGGATCGGAAACATGTGAACCTATGATGCTATTATATTATTTAAACAGAAATTCCACCAAGAAATTCCTGACGCACAAAACGAGACGTAGCTGTTGCCTAAAGGCCTTACTGTCTGGTGTAGCACTTTGGAGACTGTGGCATTATGTATTACCTGCTGTGCACATAACACTACTTTTTCCCCCCCTAGACTCGGCAGTAGTGAATCTGGTCTCGAGGGCTTAGGCATCTCCAGAACACCTCGTGTGACGTTTTAGGTTACTGTGCCTCACACCTCCCATTTTGAGGATAGCTGTTGAGACAAACGCAGCTCTTTCTTGGTGGTTAATTAAAGCTGTTTTCATAATATGATGGTCTGGATGCAATTTTGGAAGCTACTCTGCAAATACAAAAGGAAGTCTTTAAGGATAAAATATGACTTTTAGCTGTTTGCAAACAAGTTGTCTCTTTGCAATTGTCTATTATATGCACAGCAGCCAGTAGAATTCCCCTTTTTATTTTTTTTCCCCGCAGACCATCTTGATTCAAAACATCTATCGTAACCCCCAAAACAGTGCACAGACGGCTGACGGCTCACACTGTAAGTCCCACAGTTGGAGAAATTTTTTTAAAGAATGGTGTTAAAGAGCCCACTCCTAATTATGAGAAAATAATGTTGGCTCCTGAGCTGCTGACATAAAGCTGTTGCAAACAGGACAAGTGATGGAACTCTTCTTGCGCACAGATCAAGAATTTGGGGAACGTGTGCGATTCCAAGCGCATAAGTGGCTGCATAAATTGGACTTGATGCAGGTTCCCTTTTGTGTTCCAAAGTGAAGCTTGATTTCTCAGTAACACTGCATTCTTTTTAAAGGGTTAAACTGCAGACATTTCTCAAATTCTTGATTTAACAACAACAACAAAAAAAAAAAATTAGGCATATATGTGATGTACGGTAAGTTTCCCAGAACTGGGTTTTCTTTCATCTTAACTTTTTTAGGTAACTTTTTTAGGAAAATGGAGATTTCATGTTATGCTGTAATTATTGTATTGCTTCCTTTCCTGCTAAGAAACCGTTCAGTAAAACCAAATTCGAATTACTATGCTTGTAATGTAAATGGTGCATGGATGCCACCTATTACAGAGCTGTCTGAATTCATGCAAAACCCCTCTGTAGTAATATTGGTGAATGGAATAAAATACAATAATGGAGTGTCATGAGATCTCTATTACTTTACAGTGTTAGGTTGATTTAGAAAGGTCACCAGCTAAGTGAAAGTTCTCCTTCTTGGGAGAGAATAACCACCTCTCTTTCAGCACAGACTCGGCCAAAGCGACCCTAAAGGAAACCAGTTTCTTGTTAAAATTATTTTCCATAATATAAAGTTGTTGCGTTTTGTATTTCAGACCATTGCCCTCTTGAACATTTACCGTAACCCTCAAAACTCTTCCCAGTCTGCTGACGGTTTGCGCTGTAAGTTCATACAAGTTCCTTCACTGGTTCCCTGGGCTTGATTGTCAGAGCTCAGTGTCGACTTAAGCTGGTCTGCCATTTTAGTTTAACAGATCAAACTGACCACGTTTCGTTAAATGTGTTCAAAACAAACACAAAAAAAAACCGAGGAAAAAAAAACCCCAAACTTTTTTTTGTCCCACTCACCTTCCTCCCTACTCCCAAAACTGTGAGGGGAATCTGAATACCAACTACTAAATCAAAAAGGGTTCAAATTGTACTTCCCCAGTGAAGCAGTCTTGGTTGCACTGCTGTCTTCCTGTCTGTCACCTTTCTCCCTGCCAGTTGCCTGCATCCTAGGAATGGTTTTCTGTATGTTTTGTGCTCTCCATTAAGTTCCACTGTCTAAAGAGCAGGACAATGACACATTGACTTCGTCCAGAACAAATTTCCTGCTCTGTAAACATTAAGAAAACTTGAATTTGAAACTTCTCAGACTGCATGCAGAAATTTGTCCCAGGTTAATGCAACTTCCATTTAGGGAGTGCACTTGGGAAGGAATATACCATGACTGACAAACGCTTCCCTTCTGGCAGCTGTCCTTTTTGGATGGGTGCGTGCTTAAAATTCCTCCCATGCTTTGAAAATTCAAATTCCAAAGCCAAGTGGCGTGTTTACCTAAGAAAATATATTTTTAAAAGTACTTTTGAGGAGGGGAAGGCATTTGGGTATGGTCATGAAGTAATTTAATGACTCCTCCTCAGATAAAAATGGGCATAAAAGCAAACGCACCTCCTGTGAGACTGGCAGCAGTTAATGACCAGGACTGATCAGCGATTACCGATATATCAGTGTAACTGAATCATCAGTATTAGAATAAAATTTAAAAAAAAAAAGTTTTAGGACCAAAAAAGGGTCGGTGTTCTTTTCTAACTAATATTTCTTGTTGAAGTGAGTATTGACTGTGTGGTAATAAAGCTTTGTTTGGCTATTCCTTTTTTTTTTTTGACTGTTGGATTATAGACTAGTTCAGATTAGTTACCAGCATTTGATTAGAAGTACCTTGTGAAATCAGCCACTAACTTAAAAGTCAACACTGCCTCTCTTGCTTCTAAAAGTAATAATGGCTCAATTAAGTGATTTGAGTTTTTGTCACACTAGACATGCTGTATAATTTTGTCTAGATGCTTAAACAGTTCTATTGGTTTGTAGGCTTTCTTGTTGCAGATGCTTAGTAGTTAATGCTGTTTCAGTAGACCACAAAATTTCCAGTTGGGTATTTCCACGCTCTCCCTAAACTCTCAATGCGCTGGTAACTAATTTGCACAGAGTGACAGCAGTGTGGTCTGTGGAGCTGTTTAGATTTACAGCTGCAAGAGTCTTGAACAGATTCTCCAGTGTTGCAAATGCTGGTATCCAACTCTAGTTTGTCGTGACAAGCGAGTAGCTGTGTACCAGAGCCTCACTGTACCTCCTGGGGTAGAGCTGGAGCTCTGCAAGCAGTAGGTTTGCTGGAACTCCTGGCTCCTTGTTACTTTGGTATTTGTCCCTATTTAAGTACTGCATGTATTTTCAATGGATAACTTGGGTAGCTATTTAATGCTTTGTCGTTGTTGCTTAACTGTCTTCCTTTCTATTGCCGTCGTAGAGGATTAACCTTAGTTTTGAACAGCAGTAGTTTTCCTGAGTATTTTAATTAGTAAATGGGGCTTCTCAAGGTTCAGATACCAGTAGCCCTGGAATAATATGGATGTTTGTAAAGCCTGTGCATATGTATGCTTCCCACTTTAGAAGGACATTGAATAGTCATTAATTAACTGTTGCTTATGATCTCCTAATTTGACAATGAAATCTCCTTAAAAGTTTTTGGCACTTGTCCATCTGGTAACAAGTCGTTATTCCCAATGTGGCTCACAGAGCCCCTGTCTGATACCTTTAAAAACAACAACAACAAGAACAAAAAAATCCTTAGGTATTAGTAAGCTGTTATCAGTGGTGTTGGCAGAACCTTGAGAATATAGTTAAGTATTAAACTGCCTAGAAATACTGGTTTAATGTTTGATATTCCTTAATTTGCAGTATAACCATGAGGAAGGAGAAATTTCTTAAAAGCAAATAACGTTTCAAATGCAGAGATATTGTTAGCCTAAACTATAAACCAAATGCTCCTTAGCCTCTTCTGGAGGTGAGCTGGGTGGAAGAACAGGACGTGCAGTTCCAGAGAATGTGACTGGTTAATATTAGAGCCTTTGAAGAAAAATGTAAACTTTGTCCAAGTGGTAATAATAGCCAAAAATGACTGAGCCCAAAGCATCTATTTTTTTCATAGCAGCCTGAAAGTGAATAAACTTTGCTTTATTGGCTCAGATTTTTGTCTTTCACGTTCTGTGAACTAAAGAGCAATGTTTCTAATTTAAACACCAGCATATTTTTCTAGCATAAAATGCAGGGTTTGTTTTAAAACTGCTCTGCTTGATCTTAATAAGCCACTTAACTGCTGAAGAGCTAATACATTAATGTATACAGCTTGTTTAAACTGCTGTAGACTGGAAGAAATAAATGAAATACATTTTTATACTTTTAATACTTTGAAAAATAAGCCAAACGTACATTGGTTTTTATAGCAGCAGGCAAGCAGCACTCATTTGTAAAGTCCAGCTTGGAGCATGAAAATAATCTAACCTGAATATGTGGCTGGCTTGTCTTGCACTAAAAGATGTTCTGCAGGACTACAGAAAAGCTTAAATTATATTCAAAATTAAAATAGAAAATTGTTCTCTCTTGCAAAGCATTATGGTACCCTGCTTCAAGGGCACTGAGAAAAGTATGTCATTTCAATAACTATTTTGAGCAAATTTAAAAAAAAATAATTCTGGGCTATGTTACATTGTGAACTCAAATTCTAGTGGATATGCTGGAGAGGTGGACATAAAATTCTGCCTTTAGGAAGAGGAACACTAAACTGTAATAATACTTAAAATATGGACATGTAACAAAGCACTTGCCTTCTGTTTAGGTAAAATTGTTAGTAGACAGAGAGTGGGACTGTACATTAAATTTAAAGTGATACTTCAAAGGAATTCCTTTCCCCTTCCTTTGAATTTGTGGCATACAAGCTTGGCTCTGATTAAAACTTGCTTTGATTTGATCATATCAATGTAATGTTTTGACAGATACTTTGGGGACTCAAAGCTCTTCACACATCCTTATTTTTTAATATTCCTATTAGTTAGCTCCATGCTATATGGTGTCTCTTATGCTCCAGACGGCCTTCTAGATTGTTTTGTAGTATGATCAAAATCTCTTCTTCCTTATTGGCAGGCTCTAATCACTATGACTCTTTGACTTTTGCAGGTGCTGTGAGCGATGTTGAGATGCAGGAACATTATGATGAATTCTTTGAGGTATGTGAAAATGCATTAAAGTGTTAGTGGACCTGTCACTGCAAACAAGTGAAATGGATGTAGTGCATAGCACAGGGAGGTGGATTCAGACAAAAGCACTTATTTCCTCAGGTGTTCATATAAAACTGACAGCTTCATTTATTTAGCAGTGCTAAATATTTCCTGGTATAACCTTTGGTTAGTTTGGCTTTAACTTTGCTGTTTGAAATAGAATTTAATCAAAATCAGCAGCTTAAGCGATGTAGCATTTCGATTCTGTAATCTGCTTCCTTTCTATGAATTCAAAATATACTTAATTATTTTTACAGAAAGAAAGTGAAACTATAGCATCAAGGTTTATGTGTTGTGTTTTCAGTGCATCTTCTGTGTTGTGTAAATGCTGCTTGCATAATGTTTTCCATAGGTTTTTATTGTATCTTGTTAGTGCTGTACCTACAGATGGACACGGTACAGGCCAAGCAAGTACTAACTTTAAAATCAGAAATGTAAAAAAACACGGTGATTTCGCTTTTTTCCCCCTAGGGAAAGTTGTCTTTCATACCTACAGCTAAATACAGCATTTCTGTACTTAGAACTAACGTGCTGCAAACTTGTAATGGGTTTCTCTGTGCTTAGGAGGTCTTCACAGAAATGGAGGAGAAATACGGTGAAGTTGAGGAGATGAACGTGTGCGATAACCTTGGAGATCATCTAGTTGGAAATGTATACGTAAAGGTAGGATAAAGAGGCATCTTTATGTAATTGCTGGGGGTGGGGTTTGTTCATTTATAATTTTAAAAGCTGCTGTATGCTTTAGATTTTAGAAGCTCTCCAACGTCGTGATTTAAAGTAGAGTTAAAATGTGAAAGGAATCTGAAAGAAATTTTAATAAATTACGAGAAAGTTTCTTGATAGTCAAAATCTGTAATTTCAGAAAGATTAACACTTGTTTTTTTAGCACAGTTATCAACACTGTACTGCTGGACTATTTAGTTTGACAGGATTAATTTGGGATCTGTCTTGCCATCATGCTGCCCTTTAAGCACTTCATTATGAAAGGTTTATTTGCAACAGGTGCATTTATTTATTAACTTCCAGTTGAACACAGTATCCTGTAATCCTGTAATATTTGGCACTAGCTGCATGGTTTAAGGTGCAAACTGGAGCACTCGGGTTTAGCTTTTAAAAGTCGTTGGTATCTCTTGAATAACCAGTACAAAATTGTCACCTGCAGGAATTTTATTGTGTGTGCACAGTGTTGGGGAGGTGTGACAGAGTCTGTTTGAATATTTGGACTGTGCATTCCCTTAACTAGAAAGTATTTTCAGACCTGTGTTGGTCATAATCAGAACCAAAAGTTGTTTTTAAAGATTTGAAAGTGGTTAGCTGTGAAAAGGTGTTTCAAATGTTTTACATTCATCATAAAACAGGATCAGATTTTTGTAAGTTCTGATTTAAATGAATGAGAGCTCCAGTTCTCCTACAGATCTCTCTTAAATGTTTGAAGAAATCCATTACATCAGGAGTGTTGGTGTTCCAGAAAGTACTTCTAAGCATTCTCTTGGTTTAAAGCTGTACTAAGAAAGCACAGTAGCTTTTATTGACTTTTTCACTTGAAAGACCAAAGAGAACATAATTAAGAGGAAAATCAATGTTTTGATTAGCTCTGAGTCCCAGTTAATAAAGAACTGACATATTTGCCCTTGATTTGATGGACTGTCCCAGGAACTCTGAAGTAGCTGCTAGTTCCATGACTGGTCCTGAGCCTCAGATACCGCACAACTGATTGGATGGGAATCTTCAAATCTTCAATCTGCTTCTGTTACTTCTCTGTAGAGTGAGAAAATGTTACTTTTGCTTTTAGTTTCGCCGTGAAGAAGATGCAGAAAAGGCTGTGATTGACCTGAACAATCGCTGGTTCAATGGGCAGCCCATCCATGCCGAGCTCTCGCCTGTGACTGACTTCAGAGAGGCCTGTTGCCGTCAATATGAAATGGGGTAAAACACTAACTTCCTCTGGCCTTGGCAGCGTCTGAGAAATGTTTGCACAGGCAGGGAGGTTGCTTGGGTGTGGTTTTTATGTGTAGCTGAGTGTAGGAAGAAAACCACTTCAGGTAACTGCAATGTGGAGGACCTGTGGTGAAACGTGTGACTTTTGCCAACTTTTTGGGTTTTTGACCTAGGAGTGAGTCACTGTCAGTAAACGGTGGTTGTAATGTACTGGGTTTAATGTTAGAGGTGATTAACTTTTGGGTGCCTAAAAGTCCAAACAGGTAGTGTAGAGCTGGGAATTCTAACTGTGCCTCTTGAATTGTGTTTCAGAGAGTGTACACGAGGAGGTTTCTGCAACTTCATGCATTTGAAGCCCATCTCTCGAGAGTTAAGACGTGAGTTGTACGGGCGTCGTCGTAAAAAGTGAGTTTCGTTTTAAACACCATTAAAATGAGTAAATTAATGATCAGTTGCTGAAAAATCTGAAGGCAGGTCTTTAAACTTCATGTTCTTGTTTTTTCTAATGCACTTCTGGTGCATGCCAATGGAAGGGCATCAAGTAAAGCTGGCAAGTGGTTTAGAACAAAGGTGAAGGTCCCTAAATAAAAGGTTATGGTGCTTCTTGCTCTGCAGTGCTGTGGGTGCTCAAGGTTGGTGTGGCTTCAGGAGAAGGCAGGGTTAAAGGAGAGGAAAATTCACTGAGTTTACTGAATATATAGGCCCTGTCTGTGGCTCAGATCTGCAAACTGTACAGAAGGACATTATTTGGGAAAAATTACTTTATGCCTCTTACGTTTTATTCTCTTCTAGATGTGTTTGCTCATGGCCTCTGTCAGACACAGGCTGCTTTGCTAATGGGCATTTTGGCAGCATCAGATTGGCCTCTTTCAGCATTTTGTGCAGTCAAGCATATCTATAGATTATACTCAGGACCCAACCTTGTTTGCTTTTAACTGTTAATGGCAAATTTTCTAGCCTGTATTCATTTCTTACTGTTAGTAACAGGCAGTCACTGTATTGAGCTCACTGTTTATTAATACCAGCCTCACAGTGTGACCCTTCTTGATAGGAATTCTCAGTAGGAAAAAAGAATAGTAATTTTGTTTAATGGTAAAAAAATGTGAGAAATACATTCTGTTATATTACTCATTTAGTGAGGTACCTTGTAGGAAGGCTTATACCTCTTGGTGTTACAATGATGGTTCATTTGCAGCTGGATTCAATCTGCTTGCATTTAGGACCTTGCTTTTTAGTGTAGGCATGGAAAATTGTTGATCTTGCTTTTATACAGAGCACAATTTTGTAGGTTCCTTTCAATGACAGAAGGAGCCTGGGATTGTGGATTTGTTTTTCCTATAAATGTCTCTAATTGGCACTGTCTCAGAATTTGTGAGGATGAATTTAACTTTCAAAACCATGGATTGCGTTGCTTAGCCCACATGTATTTGTGCCTAAATACTTTTCCTAAATCATCCTAATTAATATTAACTTAAATGTAAGTTTTTAAGATGTTTGAATTATTCATGAAAAAGACAAAACATGCTTTTTGTATTTGCCTCAGTTACAAATCCGGATCTCTCAGACTTAGTAATGCTGATTAAAAGATACCACCTTTTTTTGCAAGAAAATTGTGTGTTGGGCTCTGGAATATGATTGTTTTATCCATAGCCCAATTTCAGTATGTGCTAAAACAAATAAAATACTGAATCCTCCATCCAGTTTTGTCTTTATTGGCCCTATTTGAAGTTAGCTAAAGCTAAAGCTGTCACAGGTTAGCAGTAAGGCTTGGTATAAAAGATACCAGTTCTTGTGTCAGTGGGGTTTCACAGGTAGGTTGTATAAACTAGACTGTCCTGAAAGTAGTTCTGCACAGAGTGAAGTGTGTCAGAAGGTTTTTGAGTAGGAAAAAGAAGGGTAAACCAGAACTTTTGAATAAAAGGCGAATTTAGTAATTTGGGCCAGCTGAGTGGTGTGCAAGAGTTAAGTATTTGTCTTTGTCATAGTAAAACTTGTCACCACACATAATCCCACCCCAAAACATCTCACTATGAAACAATATTCTGCAAACTGAAGACTTTTAGCATTTGTTTCCTTGAGTTTTTTTCAGTTTTGCTGTAATTTCTACATGTATTTAGAACTGCACTGTTAACTTGTTTTATGCAATTAATTTTTCTGAAATGCTTAAAACCATTGACAAGTGCCATATACGCTGTAAATTCACAGCAGCTCTGTTAGCAGGATGGAGTGGATGGGTTTAGCTTTGTTCCTGAATTTTTCATCTGCCTCAGAGGCAGGGAAGGTGATTTGCCAGTGCTGATGGCTTGGGGGGAAGGGCATGATGTAGATAAAAAAAGAGGGGGGAACAACCACAGAGAACTGAGTTCTAATTGCTAATTAATGCAATTGATTTAATATGAGTGGACTTACAAGCAGCTTTAGGCTTTTTGGCATTGAGAGCTGTTCCTATCTGCCAAAGCAGGTGTCCCTTTCTCCTGCTTCTTTAATTAACAGCTGTGTAACAGTGCCTTTGATTCCTCTCCCTGCCTTTCCTTAAGGTTTGCAGATCCACTCTAACAGGTGACTGCAGGGAACAGTCCATTCTTGTTCCAGTGTGTGTTGACTCCCTGGTATTCTAAGTTTGCGCAGTTTGTAAACACGCGGTTTCGCGTCCCGAGTGCCAATTAACCAACCCTTCTAATGACACGCTGCCTTTCTTCTCCCTCGTTACTCACACCCTTAATTAAGTGTGGTACTGCAAGTAAACTGCTGGCTGGGACGAGACAGTAAAATGTTCCGACTTCTTCTCTGCAGGCATCGATCCAGGTCGAGGTCCCGTGAACGCCGGTCTAGATCCAGAGATCGCGGCCGTGGCGGCGGAGGCGGCGGCGGAGGAGGCCGTGAGCGCGACAGGAGGCGGTCAAGAGATCGTGAAAGATCCGGTCGATTCTGAGCCATGCCATTTTTACCGTATGTCTGCTAGAAAGTGTTGTAGTTTGACCAAACAAAGTTCATAATGACATTTTTTTTAAAAGATGGGCTTCTGAATAAAAAAAATTTGTAGTGATACAGTATTCTTTGTGTAACTTGTTTCTTGTTGGGGGGAGTCTTTTTAACTGTCATTCCTCTATCTTGACAAATACCTGGATTAACTCTGCCTGAGGAAAAGGTGGTAAATGTGTTGGAGGAGCGCCGGTTTTGGTTTGGATTTTTTTTTTTTTTTTTGATTATTTGGGTATAATTTGAACTGTTGATGAAAATGTATGTGTATATAATATAAAATATATTATATACATAGTAAAAATAATATACTGCTTAAGAAACAGTTACTCACAAAGTTTCCCTTTTCTGCTATGCTGTCTGCTTATTTAGGTTAGTTTAGGCACATTTAAGAGGAAGGCTGTGCGAAACGCATTTATTTACTGAGTAGAAACGCTTAGTTACAAAAATGTATGTTTGTTTGTTACCAAAAGTCTGTGCTCTGTCTATCAATGTGACTGTGGCATTTAAAATAAATCCAATTTCTTGGTGTAAAATCTAAAGCCTATTTTCTAAGCACTCCGGAGTAGTTGAGTTGCTACTCCTGGCTGCCTGTTTTCTAAGCACTCTGGAGTAGCTGAGTGGCTGTTCCCAGCTGTGCCAGAGTTCACAGTTCAGGTTTTTATAATTCTTGACTAAATTCCGTGTCTTTGGCTGGAAAGTTGCCTAGCGTAGCGTGGAAAAAAAAAGTAATATTTTTATTGCAATGATTCATAATAGGCAGGTAAGAGTTTAGTGGAAAAAAAACCACCAAAATTCTGCTCCATGCAACATGATACAGAAGTGCTATTGAAGGAAATGCAAGGTCCTAAATACAGGGATCGAATTTAACAGATTGATTTTTTTTTTTTCCTAATCTATGCTCTCTTACCTGTCATTTATTGAAAAGCATTTTGTAAGTGTTCAAGGTCATAGGAAACTAACTGGATGCTAGTGGAAAATAAATCTTTTCTTCCACCTTTACTTGCTTTCTGATAGTCTGGAGTGTGATAAAAGCTAATGGACAGATGTCACTTTCTTCACAAATTCGTATTTCTGTTTCTGAGCTTGAATTGCACAATCACTGAACATCACAGGTTGTGTCTCAAAGCGTTAAAGCTCCAGTGGAAGTGTTGGAACATCTTGAGAGACAGTTTGTACAATGGCTGAGTTGCAGTTTCACCTCGTTCATGTCTGCTGTTATTCAAAGTGTAACATAGCAAGAAGTTCTGGTCAGCAATCATATTTCTGCAAGATATAACTTTATGTGCACAAAGCTGTGTGATACGATACAGTTTTCCAGTGGGGAAAAGAATTTGTTAGAGCTTTATTAGTTCTGAGCCAGATAACTTGCTAAATGATGAATCTGCAACTTGATGATTATTAAATAAAAAAAAAAAAGGAAATAGAAGAGCTATAGATTCATCACATAGAGGCAAAGAGAAGCTGGTTTGTTAATATAAAACCATTTTGCTCACTGGAACTTGGAAAACAAAATAACATTGATAAACAAGCTTTTCTAAATGAATCTGCTTTGCTTCTTACAACTCAATTCTCGCACAGGTTCAGTTTGAATTTATTTTGTTTCCACTGGATGGTTTGGCCAATGACACTGTGGAACTTAAGTTTGCCAGGACCCTTTCTGGAGAAATACCACTCAAGCAGTTGAAGCTTGACATCTCCACGTGTGATGTTTTGTTAAGCCTATAAAGGAAATGATGCTTTCTTTTTACTGTAAGAAATTGAACAGTGCCTGGCATTAAATGGCTGAACTGAAATGTATTTCTCCTAGGCATTAGAAATTTCACATTGATAATTTAGTTCTTGCAGTTTACAGGATATTAATCCTGTTCCATTTTTTTTTTCTTGGCGTGGGATTCAGCATCATTAGTGAGCTAATTTAAATCTGAAACTCCAAAAGGTGAGGATAGTCTTTCTGTTTTGTTTTTCTTCAAACAGTGTCTAATACAATGTGGATACTGTTTAAAAGGTTTAAGATAATTTCTACACAGAGTAATGACACAAACTGATTGCCCTGTAAACAAGTTAGTTTAAAACAATACAGATGCGTTCCTGTAATGGCTTTAATCTGTTTATCTAAATCCTGTTAGTCTGCAGGTATATTTTTGCATGAACAGATAGTGGAAGTTTGATTTCTCTCTTTTCCCCAATACAATTTTACTTAAGAAAGCACTCTTGAATTCCACCAAATGTGTAATTATATGGTCTGATTGCATGGCTGCCCAAAAATTAACAGTGTAACTGGAATACATCAGGATGGGCACTGAAAGCTGTGGATTTTACTGGATATTCTAATGGGTGCCTAGTGACAGCATTCAGCATATAAACTAAGCTCATGACATATCTTGTTAGGTTCACATTTTAAGACTGTACTACCAGCAAAGTTCATAAAATTTGAAATTTAAACTGCTCCAATTTGGTTAAACATTTACATGTGATAGTCCCACAAGTGGAAATTCTACCTCCCCCTTCTCTTGTTGCTCACAATGTCTTTTAAGATTTATTTTTTCCCCTCCTCCCCAAGGTACCTACTTTCCAAATATTTCATTGTTGACTCTTCTGTTGAACAGTGAATCTTAATTTATGGAATTCCTTTACCTCAAATAAGGGACAGCATACAGGATTTTCTGAAGTCTGAGTCAATTAGGTTGAAACTGTTCATCCCAAGTGGCTTCCTCTTCTTTGTATTTGGCTCTTATTCTGTGAAAATGCTGCTTGTCCATGAATATGATGTATGTTGAGACTGTAAAACCAAATGGAGAAAACTTGTTCAAAATAAAGCCTTTTTTTTATAAGAGTCTGACAAAAATTATCCCTTTCCTTTAGATGGGATGCTGCTCTCTAAATGACTGATGAGGACATAGACTACTTTTCCAATTCTTCACTCTTGAGCTATTTTTTGAGCAATTCTTTGTCTTCTGTTCTTTACAGCTGATAAAGCATGTCCTCAACTAAAATAACCCCAACCTCTCCATATTTAGTCGATAAAGTTGAATTCCAAAGAGTGCAGCTTGGGGTTAGGAGTTGGGGTCTTTTTGATTTGAGTTCTTTTAATTGAAAAGGGTTTTGGCTGAGACATCGTGCAAGTTTCTGTTGTGGTGGTCCATAGAAGACAAGAGGGCTTACTTTTGGCAGAAGAAGGTTCATTTTTGACAGAAGCAGCATGTTTAATTGAAGAAATGAGTAATGGAAAAGGGGTCATGGCTTTTAAAGATGATTCCTCCTGGTGTTGCATTGCTTAAGCTGCAAAACTTGGGGTGTTAACGACTGTGTCCAGTGCTGCTCTTGTACAACAGCACCTTACACGGCATCTGCTGTCTTTAATACATTAGAAGTGAAACTGCCTTCATAGCAGTTGTGGGGTGGGTGTGAGTAAATCTTTTGAACTGCACCTGCACTAAAGACTGTGCCTAAAAACAGTCCTGTTCAGGAAAAGTTCCAGCTGAAAAACAGAACCAAGTTAATGTTTCATTTCAGCTGGTAAGGCTGCGACAGAAGAGAATATTTGTAGCTGCCTTTGCCACTTATTGCAAGGCTGGAGCTGAGCTGTGTTACTGGAGAGAACAGTTTTACCCTTGGGGCAAATTAATTGCAATTTAAAATATCAAACTTACGTCCAGATGCCTGTAGATTAAATCAAATTCATGTTGAATTGTGTATCATGTGTATCATGTTGAATTGATACACAAGTATTTCTGAATTCATCCGTTTAGCCAATGTTGCTTTCTTACGAATCACAGAATGGTTTGTGTTGGAAGGGAAGTTAAAGGTGAGTTAGTTCCACCCTCCTGCCATGGGCAGGGACACCTTCCACTAGACCAGGTTGCTCAGAGCCCCATCCAGCCTGGCCCTGGACACTTCCAGGGATGGGAGGTCCATAGCCTTTCTGGGCAACCCGTGTTGCAGCATCACAGTGGTGAGGGTGTCTCCAAATAATTTTTCTTTTTTTTTTCAGTTTTCGTTTTGTTCCATTCACATGTATGGAAAACAGAGCACATCTCCTCAACTACACACACAGTCCTTCCTTGGCAGCGATGTGCTCATCAATTATAAACCTCTAATCCCCTGTCATGTTTTATTTCTTACAAAACTAAAACCTTCAGCAAGAAGAGCCACTGGTGAGAGGGCAGCGCTGTCCCACCCTGCAGTCCTGTGGTACTGCAGCAGCACAGCTGCTTTAGGAGGCCCCTGTTTTCCTGCTGATAGTTACTGCCAGAAATGGTGTTAATTCAATCGATCTCAAGTTTCAACTGTAAATTGGATGTGTGGAATCAGCTGGAATGGTAGAAGCCAACAAAGCAGCCCTGCTGCCAGCAGACCAGCTCCGGTAGCCAGCAGCTTCCTTTCAGCACATGAAAAGCAGGATGGGGGGAAGGGTGTGCTTATCTCTCTTGACTGTTCAGAGGCAAGTGCCGACTCCTCAGTGCTCTGATAAACATCCGGTTCAGTGCTTTTGCATAATTCCAGTTTTGGTGTTTGCTTTTGAACTAGATTGTTTTGACAGGACAGCTGATGAAGTGGTGGGATGGTGGGGGGAGTGGTGGGAGGCAGCAGCTTCATGGGTGAGCTGGAGCCCTGGAGCAGCTCCTGTGTGTGGCTGCCCCTTTGACTCAACCACCTTAACAGCCTTCAGAGCTCTGCAAGCTGTTCCCACGAGGCAGAGAAGATTACTCTGATCCAGGTGTTCCTTTGGGACAAACCCCTGCGTTCCTGACAAAGGCCTGCAGAGCACTGTTTTCCTGAGCACTGTGAGCTCAGGACACCATAGGCCACTTCCAGCTCTCTGTTTCCAAGACTGCACGTGTAGGTGGGTCTGGAGGGAAAAAAAGTAGTTTCTGCTCTGGTTTCAGTGAGCCATGAGACAAAGTGGGGAGAGAAGCAGCAGGGAGCACTGGAGCTGGTGTCCCTGCCTCCTTGTTTTTTGTGAAAAAGCTTTTAGTCTGCCAGGCTTAGGCCTGCTGTGCTTTTGCACAGCACCTGGCTTGATTTCAAGTCTTGCTACCTGTTCAGCTGAATACTGAATCGTGTTTCAGATCCTCCTCACTTTCTTCCTGGAGCCATCTGGGATTCTGGCCAGGCAGAGGGAGGGAACTGCTCCCACTGCAGCCTGTGCACCAGCCTGCCTCCTGGGCCTGGGAGCTGTGGGAAGAGCCAAGGGGAACCACTGCTCCTCCCTTTACCCACCCATTTTCCTTCAGAGCTAATACTGCTCAGGTCTGAGAGAAAGATGGGAGACAACTTCACAAATCAAAGCAGTCCTGCAACTTCCATCATTCCTTCTTTGCTCTCTAGTGAACGAGGAGGATTCTTCCTCTTGTGGTGGAGGAAAAGAAGTCCTGGAGCTGCATGAGGAAGAGATTTGATAAAGGGACTATGAGGCAGGACATGGAGAACTGATTTCTGAACAAAGCACAAGTGGAGAGTGAGCTGCCAGCCTTCCTGCCTGGGGATTGAGTGAAACATTAATTGTTGCACTGCTGGACTAGGGATGGGCAAGGGAAATTCCAAAGACAGGCAAAAATCTGCCCAAGTAATACTCATTAATGTCTGGGCCATTCTTTCCATTCTGCAGGAGTTTGGCTCATTATTTTTTTACCCTTTCATGTGACCATGCTGACCACAACAAAGAGACGTTTAATTGCCCTCCTTGCTCAGCCTCCAAGGAGGGAAGCCTTCGGTCTTTGGGACAACTCTGGGGTTCTCAAACACATGTGTGGTGCCACCTGTAACACCTTACAGAAAAAACATCTTCAGCCAAGGGAATAGTGCAGAGTGAGCAGCAGATTATGTCATCCTTGTAGTACTGGTAGGTGATTTGAGTGAGGTTTCTGACTGTCTCTGTTTCTGTTTTCTCTGAACAACTTCACTTCCTTCAGTCTCTACTCCTGGGCCATGTTTCTCTCTACACTTTGTGCTCCTCGGGCCACATCCTGCATGGGCTGTGTCTTTTTTTGAAATGCAGCATTCCAGATGGGAGACGAGGTACCTCGACAAAGCCTGCCGGTGCCGAGGGTGCCATGTGTCCTGCAGGCTGTATTCCTGTTTGCCTAACCCTGCACGATGTTTGCTTTTTGCACAACAGCAGGGCCTTGTTGACTCTCATTGAGCTTGGCCTGGCACTACAGTCATACCTTCCACTCCACACAATTACTGTCCAGATAGTGGCCACTCAAGACATTTTGCAGTCTGGCCGTAAAATTTTGTATTTGTCCTTATCAGCCAACTTCCTATTTTACTTTCTCATCTCATTTCCAGCCTGTCAAAGATCATTTTGAAGTCTGTTCTCCCAATTGTTTGTGGCCTCTTGCATGCAGTTAAAATATGGAGTGGCTCTTCCTGGGCTGTGTTTTCTTCCCTTTGCATAAAAACCTTTCCATGAGCTTGTGGGATAGCCTTGTGCTCTCCCATCCCAAAATGGCTGTGGGTACCAACAAAACTTCTTGGAGTGCCTTCATTAGCTGGTCACAAAAAGCCCCCTTCACGTGATCTTCCTCCTTCAGTGATCCTACCACAACAGCATTTACCTTTTTTCCCTCTCCCTTTGATCACTGACTGCGCTGGTCCAAGGAATCTCTCTCCTTAACCTTTGAGTCTTCAGCATGTTTTACTCATCACTGACAGAAGAAACATCATCCTCTCCTTGCCATTCCTAAACAAGCTGTTTATTTCCATGTTAATATTCCAGTTGGTGTCGCATCACCGCTGATCAGATCACAGTTTTGATTTTATCCCAACCCTCACTGCAGCTCCTCTTGTTCCTTGCAAGAGAAATAAACCCGAGCATTGCCAGATCTCAAGAAATGGATGAAATGGCTCCACTTACGCTATTGGTAGTGACCTGCTGATTTCTGGGAGTTATTCACAATGCTGGCTTGAAGAATAATCCACGTATCCCACTGATTGGGCTCAGCCCTAATGGATCTAATTAGTGAGCAGTGGAGAAAAGCTCCTTGTGTTCATTCCCAGGCACCATGACTGATTTCAATGCCAGTAACGCCATGGTACAGTGTGGGTTGGTGTTGCTCTGGAGATATTTGAAGTCAGTTTATTCTGTAAGTCAAAACTCCCCTGTAGTGGAAAGGGGCTTTTCACAAGGGCATGTAGTGATAGAATAAGGGGAAAAGGCTTTAAACTGAAGGAGGGTGGTGGTAGAATAGATATTAATAAGAAATTCTTTACTCTGAGGGTGGTGAGGCACTGGCACAGGTTGCCCAGAGAAGTTGTGGACTCCCCGTCCCTGGAAGCACTCAAGGCCAGGTTGGATGGAGCTCTGAGCAACCTGGTCTAGTGGAAGGTGGATTGCCCCCTGTGGCAGGGGGGTTGGAACGAGAGGATCTTTAAGGTCCCTTCCAACCCAAACCATTCTGTGCTGTGTTGCCAGTTTACCTTCACCTGCCTCCTGACACAGTGATGGAGATCAAATCTTGATTGCAGAGCTGTGGTACAATCACAAATCCCTCTCATTAGCCTCACACATCATGTCAGATAATTTCAAACATGCCCGGTGCTGTCACTTGGTCTTACAAGTCTCCTCTGAGGCATTTCTTTCGCACTTATCAGGATCTGGCATATCCACCTGTGCTGATGATTTCGTACCTCGACACCCATCCGCCTGAAGTTGCAGTGGTTGCTGCAAGGCTGGCACTTCTTCAGAGAGAACAGCTGACTCAGTGCCCCTTCCCCAGTCCCTCCTGAAAGGCATGAAAGGTATGGTTATCCCTCCTTGGATACCCTCTGTGGGCACGACCGCAGTTTGCAAACACTTGCGCTCATACTGTTCCAAATATTCATGGATTT